AAAATGATCACTCCATCCACAAATGTTTGTGGAACACTGTTGTGGGCAATTGGCTACTGAGTTTCGCCCACCACATTTGTAACTGAGAGGCAAAGAAAATGATACCATAAAACCAGTAACGAGTTGTCTCCAAAATCTCTACACTTGACAGCAATTACTTCCGAAGAGCTTTGCGATATTTTGAAGAAACAAGGTTCCATCATAATGCAAGCTCTTTCTTGTCAGATTGGCTCTAAAAAATTATTCACAGCTTCAGTTGGAGCCAATGCTGAGAGTCATAAATTATTTAAAGAACAGGAGTCCTGTGGCTGTGCTGCTGCTGGCTTCCTTACTGGAGGTATCTACTCTAATCCTCTTCCCTGCTATTTTGCATACCCTTTAACCAAGGATTTGGGCAAATCAGTCATTTGGAGCAGTGTTTCTTCTCACTGAGCTCCTCTTAACCCTGCAAACCAAAGCACTGAGGAGCAGAGTGGTTCTAGTTCCAGACAGTGCTCTCAATGGCAAGCTTTGCGGTTTTAGCTGGTTAAACCCCAGCAATAACGCAATTTGGGGCTCCCCAAACCTTGGCTCTTGCCAATCCAAGTCCCTCCAAGGAGAGAGTGCACATTCTACTCCAGACACCGGGACATTTCCATGTGAAGGTGGTATACATATGTGGATTGCTAAGTCTGGTTTCAATACTCTCAAGCATGTTGATGGGTTTCTGTACGTGTCAGACACCCAGCTGATCAAAAACAATCTTTTTTTTCTCAGTTGTTTATCCAATTTCTGTTAAAAGCTATTATTAAAAAAAGCTTCAAGTGCCATTTGTGACAAAGCTTTCTGAATTCATTACAACACTTGGTGATCGTCCTCAATTTATGTTCTCATCAATCAGTACATTTTAAAATGTGGGGCCCAGGCACCACAACATACTGCCTTTTCAACCTGGCTTGTTGCAGAGTCTAGAGGCTGGGTTGTCTTCACAGGTCTCCATATATTAAGTATCCCTGCTCCCAAGTCCTGCCAATGAGCCAGGTTCACTGATCTTTCATCAGCAGTGCCCTGGCTCAGGAACTGGACAACTAAAACCACCACAGAGGATTGACTCAATTCCGACATTACGTTGTCAAACATGTCACCTTGGAGCCATCTTACCTTCCCCTAAAGAGGATAGTCACAAGTTAGTTATTTGACATCCAACAAGCGCAGCTTTCAGCCCTTATAAGGTGTTACATCAAATGCTAGGATTATTATTGATTAGATGTATTATCCACTGGTTAAATATTTGATTCATATCAATATTGAACATAATAACCAAATGGCACAGTTATATGAATGGAGAATGTTTAATTGGAGCAAATCGGGGATTGTTCCAATAGCAGCCTGCTGGTTGAACACTCCTGTTCATTGAAGGGCTGATCAGCTTTAGTAATCTTAATTCTAAAATGAATCTCAGATGGCAGTCTACCATTTCAGATTTTCTCTTTCTTGGAAACTTGATTTCTTTGGTTTCTTTCTTATATGCCCTGACCTATTCCCATGTCACTCAACACGTTTTTTTAAAGAAAAGAATGGTCCATAACTTTCACTGATGCATCACCTTAAATGCTTATTATTCACAACCACCCCCTCACAGAAACCGCCTCAGAGAAGGCCGCAAAGGCGCTATTAGCCTCAAGGGCACCACCCTGTGGCTGAGCGCACCGAGCTGTCAGGCCATTTCGCAACTGATTTTTAAATTTAGTGGAGTCCTGTAGTGTATTGGTTAGAAGATTCACCTTGCAAGTGAACTCAGTTCCCAGGCAGAACGAAACCTTAGGGAAGTTTCCTTACTCCGCACACCTGTTTACCAGCATTAAGTTGATTTCAGGAGATAATAATCCCTTCAAAATAAATACATAAATAAATAATAAACAATAATTTGGTCATTCATTCCACAACACTTTGTGGGACACTGTTGTGCAGATTTCGCCTAGAAAATATGCAGTCATTTCACTTTCCAGTGAAGTGCTTTGAAACATCTCAACGGCGTAATAAAGGGCTATAGCAAATGCAAGGGTTATTCTTCGTAGTATTAATTCCCCCAGTATATCAAATCCATGTGTTCTTCAATGCCCAGATAAGTAACAGATGTTTGGTAACTGTGAAACATCTATGTCTTATCCTAAAGGTAAATTGATAGCCTCACTCAGAGGATTAGTTGGACATGACTTCTTCTCCACCCACTATTAGTTTGAAAGATTGCTGAGTTTATCATCAACACAAGAACAACAACAATTTGCATTTATATAGCGCCCTCCACACAGGGAAGCGACCCAGAGCACACCTGAAAAGGATTGAGACATCCTCCGTGAGGCTTAAAGACTGACATCTATTCCTTTAGCGCCTTGGGACATACGCCCAATGTGAAAGGCACTTTACAAATATAATTTTTTTGTTCTTCTTCTTCATTGGCTCTCTGACACAACATCTAACTACCCATGCCCAAGCAACAACATCAACAAAATTACATTTCATGCCTTTCATGTCGGGAGGATGTCCCAAGGTGCTGGACAACAACAACAAGATTACATTTGTATAGCGCCTTTCATGTTGGGAGGACGTCCCAAGGCGCTGGACAGTGTACAACATTTCAGACCCAAGCTGGGGTCAGGGGGAGAAGGGAGGGGAGGGGAAGGGGGGTGGCCACAACGTAGAGAGATAGGAATTGAACCAGACAAGGGCAGGTCCGCGAAGATTGAGTAGAGGCAGTGTATGAGGATGGAGTGGTCGACAGTGTCAAAGGCAGCAGAGAGCTCGAGGAGGACAAAGAGGCAGAGGGAGCCCTGATCACAGATGTTCAGAATGTCATTGGTGACTTTGACCAGGGCTGTTTCCGTGCTGTGGGCAGCGCAGAAGCCGGATTGGAGGGGTTAAAAGAGGGAATGGCAAGAAAGGAGTGGAGCTGGGACGCAACGACTCGTTCCAGAACCTTGAAGAGGAATGGGAGGTTAGAGATGGGGCGGTAGCTCGAGAGGAGGGATGGGTCCAGGGAAGGTTTTTTCAAGATGGGGGTGATGACGGCTGTTTTTAGGGGGGTGGAATAGAAGAACAGGAGAAAGTTAAGAATACAAAATAAATAAAAAGTATAAATAATCCTTGCATTTGATATGGCGCCTTATCGTATCGTCCAAATTGCTTCACCGAGTGAATTCACTGTGTATTTGTAGATTAACGTGACTGCCAATTTCCACACAGCAATGTCCAACAAACAGCCAAGAAGTGAATGACAAATTTTATCTGGGGGATTGTTAGTCGGGTCACTGGATAAAACTCTTCTCTTTTTGAGCAGTGACCTGGAATCTTTAAACATCTACCCTAATAGGCAGATGTAAGGTGGCTCATTCATCTGAAGGATAGCACCTCTGACAATGCAGCGATCTGCCAGCATCATGGTGGGAGTGTCAGCGGAGACTGTGAGTTCAAAGTTCAATGTAGAGCTTGAATCCACAACTTTCTGACTCGGAGGCGACAGGGCTACTAACTGAGCCAAGCTGCCTCCTATATTGGTGGCATACACTACAGCTGGCAAAATTGGTAACATTACAATCCGGGATAATTTCAACCCCTAATGCTTATTGTCTCTTGCCAACTCCTTTATCCTAATAATCAATTTACATTTCTCTGCAGAGTCAGAACAATACACATACCATTCAAAAACTTTTTTATTGAGTTGAATAATCATGATTCCTTTTTGGTTATTCTAACCACAAGCGCAAGTTAAATAACCAACATATTTGTTTAAAAGTTAATTTTAAAATCGTAAAAAATAAAGTTGAAATAGAGGTTTTCTTCACCATTGTTCAGTCAAATAGCAATGCTTTTTGGTAAAATGGTGATATAGTATTACATTGAGAAAAAAGCTCTATCGCTGCAATATGTTTGCATTTGCAATGTAATTTTTTAACCATTCATTATCATCAACTTGTGTGATGATGGTCAGAGCACAACTAAAAACATTCTCGTTTTTCCTATCGTCTAGAATGCAATTGCAGACTCAAATAACAAAACACAACTCATTTGTTTATTCAAGCATGGTAAAGGTGGGCTGTAGAATTAGCTAAAGCAGAACATTTCTTCCAATAATGCTGAATACTTATTATTACAAACAATTGTTTTGTATGGCTTTTCAGAAGGACTTGGGGTTTACTGAAAAAATGGCACTTGCTTTCATTTTATATTGTTGGCTAATCCTGATTGCAGTGAGGTATCAAGGTTCGACTTGCCAGATATTATATTGTGTAGTTTAGAATTCTCTCATTTGAGAGAATAAGTCACCAATAACGTGGGAGGGTGGCCGAAGGCAAGGTTGAAGAGGAAGTTCTCAGACGGAACTTGAAGAAGGCAAGAGAGGGGGTGAGCTGGAGGGATTGTGGGATAGAGTTGCAGAGTGTGGGGACAGAGATGCTGGATGCCCAACCAACAATGGTGGGGTGGGAAGTGCAGGAGACCTGAAGCAGGCCGGTGTCCGCCGAGCGGAGGGAGCGGGCAGGCTGATATGGGGTTACGAGGTCAGAGAGGTGGGGGGAGCAAGACCGTGGAGGGACTTGAAGGTAAGAATGAAGTGGGAAAGGTAGGATTGGAACCAGGCAAAAAACGAACCATTGAGGTGGAGGTGAGAGGAGAGCCTGTGGAGACGAATAGAGCGGTCAACAGTATTGAAAGCTTCCGAGAGGTTGAGAAACACGAGGAGAGCCCTGGTGGACAGAATTTTATTTGTCACTTTGACCAGGGTTGTCTGTGCTGTGAGCAGCACAAAACCCAGATTGGAGGGTTTCATGGAGGGAACGCGGGAGAGGAAAAAGGAAAGCTGGGAAGCGAAGACTCGTTCCATGACCTTTGATATAAAAGGAAGGTTTGAAATGGGGTGATACTTGGAGAGCAGAGATGGGTCAAAGGAAGGATTTTGAGGGTGGGGTGATGACGGCTGTCTTTAGGGGGATGGGTACGGTGCCAGTGGATGGGAGAGGTTAACGGGGTCTGTTAGTTGGGGGGCAAGGAGGTGAAGCTGGGAGGTGAGAACAGGGGTAGCGACGGGGTCAAGCTAGCAGATGGTGGGAAAATGATGAAGGTGAGCGAAGAGGGGGAGACAGGGTCAAAAATGTGGAGAGAGGGATGGGGGGGGCTGGAAGGGGAGCGGGAAGTGGGGACGGGGTGCCAGTAGGGGGGCTTGAGGCAGCAGAGCGGAGCCCCTCGACTTTGGACTTGAGAAAATTCATCATGTTCTCGCATTTAGTGTTGGAGGAGAAGGTGGCAGAGGCATGGGAGGGTGGACCGAGGAGTTGGTTTATGGTAGAAAAGAGGATATACAAGATACACTGTAGAGAGGCTGAATATTTTTTGTGGGTGATATGGGTGAGAATGCCTTGGGAGCTAGATAAAGCTTTCTTGGTTCCATATAAGGAAGTGCTTCATCTTGAAACTTACTGAGCACTGAGACCAGGAACTTGTGTGAGGAATTGTGACACCAGTTATTAAGTGCACATCATCAGAGGTCAGCAACCATACCAGAGCAGGAACCTCAATCTTGCTGGAGTTGAAATTGTTAAAGGAATGTATGCATCATAGTTTGGTATAGGTCATTTGTGTTTTCAGAGTGCCATTTAGCAACCTTGATGAAACACCTATCCATCATTTTTTTTATGAAATCATTTTACTGAATGTATTGAATATAAAAGATGAAAGCATTTTCAATGGATAACCTCTATTTGTGTGGTCTACTGAAGGGGTGCAGCACTGTTTGCAATCCTGGACCTTTACATGCATAAAAGTGTAACAGTCTGGTAAATCAAGCTGGGATATGTGTAAACATACTCTTCCAAACCACCATAACATAGATTCTTCACTGCAATGAAAAAGGAAGCATTTTACTTATAAGACATTGCAACCAATATAAACAAAATATAGTTAACAAAAAAACTTTTCATATAAGAACTTAAGATGCACTCTGAAATTGGGATTTTTTCCATTTCCATCCAGGTGCAGGCTCTTCAGTGGGTGACTGACTTTTTGGCAGCAATTAGAGTGTTTTTCAAGAGCATAGCAACTGTCATGGGCCCAACACCTCCAGGCACTGGGGTGATATAACTTGCTTTCCTCTTGACTTCTGTAGGGAAATAAATTTTATTTGCATTACTGATTATCCATCAAGTTTTGCGTGCCTTTCTTTCAGAGCCAAGGGGAAACAGCCCTTTGCACTTATATAGTACCTTTCATGAAGGAAAATATTTCAGAGCACTTTACAGATTTAGCCCAAAACGGAGGTGAGAGAGGGTGTGAGGTGGAGGGTTTTTGAGATAGAGATAAGTGGAGCATGATATTGTCTCACCTATATGATTGTATGTAGCATAGAGAGTTGTCAAGTCACATTTTGGAGAGGATAACAGGTAACATTAAGGACAGCTGGATAGCTCTATGATCTGGAAACCAGTAATATTATTTGTCAGCATGATGTGGAAAGTGAATGATTTCTTTGTTGCCAATCGAGAAATTCAGGGATATCAATAATAAATTGTTAACACATTATAAAATACTGTATATCCAAAATGTGCAAACTTCAGATTAGAAAATCCCTGAAAATATAATATACAAATGCATAAATACCTCACCAGACATGTTATAAACCTTGTTTGCATATTGTTGTATTTGGTCCAATTAGACAGGCAAAAGGAATGTTAATACCACAGATAGACATACACACCTTAACCACAGCTGCGTAAGATTTACGATAGCAGCCAATAATTTGAATTTATAGCAAATATTCCTAAAATATGTAAGATCATGGTGTATCAACAACGACGACAATTTGCATTCATATAGCACCCCTCATGCAGGGTAACATCTCGGAGCACTTAACACTAGCAAGTCAGACGCAGGGAGGTGATCGTAAGAATGCTCAGAGAAGAAGATCTTCAGGCTTGATCTGAAAAGGGGGAAGGAGGGGACAAATTGGTGGGATTGAGAGAGAGTTCCAAAGTTTCGGGGCGTAGTGCCGAAACTGACCGGAGGCCGACTGAGATCTCTCATTTGTTTATTCGTTTCTATATGTAATTAGCTGCATTTATTATCTGGACAAGTAAGAGAGAAATAGATGGGTTCATTAAAAATAAAGGTTTGAAGAGGTATGGAGATAGGGCGAGGCAGTGACACTGAGCATACAACTTGCTCTGAGAGCCAGTGCAGACTTGCTGGGCCAAATGGTCTTCTTGGAGCTAAATCAATGTAAATTAAAACAATGTAGTTTTACCATCCTTTGATCTTTGTATTAAAAATAATCTGCTAATTTTCTACTCCATTTTTCTTTTGTCCTCTCCTCTCTTTAAGATTTTTGACTCAACTTCCCTTCTACTTAGGTACGGTTCCATGTGTGCTGGTTGCCAATCAACACCTTATTCGTATTAAATAGCCACTTTGAAAGAACAGGGAATTGGAATTATGATGGATGAGCAAACGGCACTCAGACTCTGGATTAAGTAGCCGCCTACATTAATTTGCCTCCATCTCGCCCCTTATGGTTATGTAAATTCTATATATATTAGATGAGTTGGTTGGTTGATCTGCTTTGGTTCCAATGAATGGAATGTACTGATTGAGTTTAACGTAAAACATAACAGGAGGAGCAGTGTTCAGAACCAGTTTGGGAGGATCAGAAGATAATACAGACTGACCTGCCTAAAATTATCTGCTTTTCGTTTGTTGAGTTATTACACAAACTGTGAACGTCTGAACTTCAGAACAGTAACTACAGGGTGCGTTGAGAAAAACAGACTTAGCCGAAGGGCTAATTTCCAGTGGGTAAGGCAGGGAGCATGCAGAATGCACTAATGTATCAAACACTCCCAGTTATTTGCCTCAGATTCAGAGCAGGGTCTCACACACACACAAAAAACAAAAAGATGCAGAATAAAATGTCAATATATGAAAATGACTATCGAGAGGTATAAAACTTTTTTTTCCTTCCAGAATTGATATTTAAAGATGTGTTTTTAAAATTAATTTCCCTTTTATTACCAAAACCTTTAATTTGAGCTTAATTATGTACAATCACTTCTCAAGTGAAACACATTATATAAACGGAGTTTATGTTCCCAGGATTTGGTTCCAACAATAACAAATGGCTCTTATATAGCACCTTTCACATCCGGAGGACATCCCAGAACACTGAACAATAAAGGGGTTGCACCCGAGCTGGAGGTTGGAGTCAAGAGGCGTGGGGGGCAATGGGGGTGCAAGAATGACCGAAGGCACGGGCAAAGAGGAAGATCTTGCACGGAGGCAAAGGACTGGGCGAGGCAGGTAAGCTCCAGGATGGAATTCCAGAGAGTGGAGGGGCAGAAAGGCTGAAGGCCAAACTGCCCAATGGTGGAGTGAGCAGGGCAGGGGACATGGAGAAGGGCAGGAGACATGGAGCAGGCCATTGCCCACTGAGCAGAGGAAGTGGGCAAGTTGAGAACGTTTTAGCAGGTCGCGGAGGTCGGGAGGAACAAGACCTTGGAGGACTTTAAAAGTAACAATTGCATCCTCTTAGGATTTCATTGTTAGCTACAGTTTTCGTCCAGTTGTAAAATTGTGTGTGTAATGAGAGTGGGGGTGTAGGGGGGCTACAATGAAGCACTTCAGTCACATCTGATTCAGTAAGTCCTTGACAGTTTCCAGTTATATGAATTAACAGTAATAATACCGTAGAGGAACCAGTCAGTGGAATGTGACATAACCTGGGTTCACTTTATTGTGCAGTTGGGGGTATCTCACATCAGGCTTGAGGGGCATGTTGATAATTATAATAATAATCCTTGCATTTCACATAGCGCCTTATCACATCTTCGAGACATTTCAAAGCACTTCACAGAATATACTGTAAAGTAAAAGACAAAGTACTGTAGATGCTGGAAATCTGGTATAAACACAGAAGTCGCTTGGAACACGCAGCGTCAGGCAGCATCCAAGGCGAGAGGAAAATTAGTTAACTTTTTAGGTCAATGACGCTTCATTGTATTTAAATTACATTAATTATCTGGATATCGAAACCGATTGTAAGATGATCACATTTATTGAAAATATAACAATATGGGGTGAGGTGAAGACAAAGAGGAAAGAGGAATTAGATTAGTTATGCATTTGGGCAGTTGCAAATTAAATATAACACTGCTAAATGTGAAATATTGCACCTGAGTAGAAACATATGTGGGACATAAGAAGTCAACTGAAATTAATCAGCAGGGAGACTTAGAAAGGGGCACTGGAATAACACCACTGCATTGTGGTAAAGCAACAACAACAAATTACACTTGTATTGCGCCCTTCACGTCAGAAAGACGTCCTATGGTGCTGGTCAGTCAGGGTTTTTTGGACCCAAGCTGGGAGTTGGGGTCAGGAGGGGTGGAGGGCCGTGGTGGGGTGGGGGGTGGGAGAGTGGCCAAAGGCACGGTCGAAGGAAGGTCTTCAGAAGGTCTTGAAGGAGGCAAGAGAGGGGGTGAGGCAGAGGGATTGTGGGATAGAGTTGCAGAGTGTGGGGACAGAGATGCTGAATGCCCGACCAACAATGGTGGGGTGTGAAGTGCGGGGGACCTGAAGCAGGCCGGTGTCCGCCGAGCGGAGGGAGCGGACAGGCTGATATGGGGTTACGAGGTCAGAGAGGTGGAGGGAGCAAGACCGTGGAGGGACTTGAAGGTAAGAATGAAGTGGGAAAGGTAGGATTGAAGCCAGGCAAAAAAAGGCGGAACGGGTCACGGCACGACTGTGAGGTTAGAAGGATAGCTGAGGGTCGAAAAGGACACCAAGGTTTCAGATTGGCTCGGTGAGGTGAAGAGTGCAGCCATGAATGGTGATAGTGTCAGCGGCTGAGGTGAGGAGGCACTGCCGGGAGCCATGCAGGAGGCCTCTGTCTTCCCAACATTGAGCTGGAGGAATTTGGCTCTTGTCCAGGATTTGATGTCAGACAGACAATTAGTCAGAACATTAATGGTTCTGGAGTCGAGAGTGGAGGTGGCGAGATAGAGTTGGGTGTCATCATACATGTGGAAGCAATTCAAAAGGCTAACAGAATACTTGGTTATATAGGCATAACAGTAGAATACACATACACACAGGTCACTGTGCTTGCTGGCCTTCAATGGCCAGGGATCAACTTCGACTCAGTTTGAATCCCATGAACAGAAAACAGCTTTTTTGTTATCTTCTGTTGGTGGGATTCAAACAACTCCAATGCCATTACCAGCGTTTACCAGCAGTTTTCAGCACTGAAAAAGCCAATAAATGTTGGTACCTGCATTGCAATTACACTTAGCCGGAAATTCCAGGACACTGGTCCGTCTCTCGAACCCCCCCAGCCCTGCTTTGGTCCTGCTGGCCAGGGTTTTAGTGCACTCACATTGGAGAGAATACTGGAATGAGAAATGAAATTGATCCTTAGTGTAAAGAGAACAAACGTTGAAGACTACGCTAACTTGAGCTTTACAATCTGGAAAGAAAGTACTTCATCATACAAAATATTAAATGGGAAAACCTAAACTATGAGGTTGGGACGTCTTTATTGCACAAATCGTAGCGAAAATGGCAGCAACAATGGTGCTTCGTATCAGAGAAAGACCTTGAGATATGAAGTGAGTCTCTGCTGGAAATTATGTCACCCAAATCCTTACAGTTGCCCACATTTGTGATGTGACATACACAGGATTTCCATCAGGTTATTCACTTTACAATTGCATTTTGCAGAATATCCTTTGAAGTGCTGTAAGACATTCTCCCGATGTGAAAGGAATTATACCAAATGTAAGAATTATTATAAATAGCAGCAGAGGGCATAAATGGAATTAGTAGATTTAGAAAAAATATTAGGAAACTATCTTCTACTCAGAGACAGAAATGTTTAGAATAGTAGAAACAAAACCACAAGATTAATAAACACACAATTACAATTAAGAGAGTTAAAGGGGATATAAAATCTACAGAGAATGCATTTTGTTGAAAACAAATACTCTAAAACATAAAATAATGTTCTTGTAGATATTTCTGCATATGAAGTGACAGCTTCTTTCCTGAAGACACTCCCTGAGGCCCACCTTTGCCTGGACAAGGTTGCTCCAGTGACGTGTATCAGGGAAGGGGCTGAGTTGGCTGATTTCTTTGTTTTCTGAGGGCAGGAGTTTAGAAGACGATCCCAAACCTGGTGCTGCAGTTCTCAGCTTTTCTCCACTTCTGCATGTGAGGCTTCTATTCATTTTGACATAATTATGACACATTCCACCTCTGAGCCTACAAAATCACAGTCACTAAACCTTTACAGTAAATCTTGTGAAGTGCTTTGAAATGTCCTCCTGACATGAAAAGTGTCATATGAAATGCAAGGACTTTCATTATTTCACCTAGAATGACAAGTCAGAAGCCTTAATAATAATTATAATCTTTAATGCATTTTGCCCACAAAATATAGTCAATTCACTTTACAGTATATTCCATGAAGTGCTTTGAGACATCTCAAAGACGTGATAAGGCTCTATATCAAATTGCAAGGATTATTATTGTTATTATTAAATTTGTTACAGTGCCTTTCACACCAGTAGAACTTCTCAAATCGCTTCACAAGATACACTGTAAAGTGGAGTGACTGTGTGTTGCAGGCAAATGCAGCAGCCAAGTTGCACAGCAATGACCCACAAACAGCCAAGAGGTGAATGACCAATTTTATTTGATGGTTTGTTGGCGTGTTTACCTCCCTTCTCTTTTCAAGTAGTGCAATAAAGATCTTTTACGTCCAACTGAACGGGCAAACGGGACTCGGTTTAACTTCTCATCCAAAGGACGGCACTGCCAACATGCAGTATACCCCCAGTACTGCTTTGGAGTATCAGCTGAGAGTACATGAGCTTGAAGCCTCAAGGTGGGACATGAACCCACAACCCTCATAGGCGATAATGCAACCAACCAGGGCATCAAGATGGATGCATCGAATCATGCCTCTGTTTACCAGGCAGTAAGGAGGAAGCCGGTTGTTAGTCGATTGGTGGATCGCTTTTCCGGGGTAATAATTCCTTCACAAAAAAAAATTGGTCACTAAAGCCGCGACTGTTTGTGGGACACTGCTGTGCGCAATTGGCTGCCAAGTTTCCCCCAAAAATATACAGTCAATTCACTTCACAATATATTCACATTGCTGAAGGCACAGTCAAAAGGGAGTGTCTTGAGTCATGCCTTGAAGGAGGCAAGAGAGGAAGCAAGGCAAAGAGATTGTGGGATGGAGTTTCAAAGAGTAGGGGCAGAGAGGCTAAAAGCTCGGCCGCCAATGGTAGGGCAGGTCGGGCTGGAGACCTGGAGCAGGCCAGAGCCCACTGAGCAGAGGGAGCGGACAGGTTGATGGTGGTCAGCAGGTCAGAGATGTAAGAGGGGAGTGCCCAGAACATTCCATTATCATTGCAGTTCATCAAGTCTGTCAATCGCCAGATAGCAATCTTGACCTGCTGTAATGTATCAGTTAACGTGTTTTCTGTTGCAAGGAAATTAAACATTCAATTTTTGCCTTGTCCCAGATCAAACTGCTGAACATGTGCAGTTTGCATCTGGATAAGTAAAACGCTTATTGAGTCATAGAAAAATATATTGCTTAAGTATGTAACGAATATGTATGAACATGAAGAACGGTTTGGCACTTTTTAAAAAATCCCCATTTGTTCTGCTTGTATTTGTTCTTAATAAAAGCATTATTTTCAAAAGCATGGGCGCTTTTTGTGATGTCAAGGAGCAGGGTGGAACTTTCTACTGCTACTTTCTTCATTCTTTTCAGTCCTGGTTTGATGGATTTGGCATGTTTAAGCCTAAAGAAAATGCTTCCTACAAAATCAGTCACCATGTTTGACAGTTATTACACATGAAGTGCTTTAAGATGTTTTCAGTGATAAGGTGCTTTATATTGCAAGTATTTTCTTTCCTCCAAAAGTTGTTCAGTATAATTAAAAAGGAGCCACACTTACTGGGTAATGGGTGCAAATAGTGACAGCCTCAAACCAGTGGGTGTGTTTGTGGCCCTTTACAGGGATATGGAGAAATTTGGGGTTTTCAATTCCCAGTTCCTTTCCTGACACAAGAAAGGAGGCCTTTGCATTTCTTTTATCTTTCAGAATTAAAAATGAATTCAGCTGTACCTCAATCACTATAATATCTCGTTCCAAACTTTTGATAAATATTTTAAACTTTGTATCTAAACAATTTGAGAACTGACAACAATCAGAGAGATTAGAGAAGGTGGGATTGCTCTCCTTAGAGCAGCGAAGGTTAAGGGGAGATTTAATGGAGGTGTTCAAAATTATCAGGGGTTTTGATAGAGTAAATAAGGAGACACTGTTTCCACTGGCAGGCGGGTCAGTGACCAGAGGACACGGATTTAAGATAATTGAAAAAAAAAGATAGGAGAGAAGGAGATTTTATTTTACCTAGCAAGTTATTAGCATCTGGAATTCACTGCCTGAAAGGCAGTAGAAGCAGATCCAATAGAAATTTTCAAAAGAAAAGAGCGAGGAGTGGGACTAATTGGATAGCTCTTTCAATGAGCCGGCACAGGCATAATGGGCTGAATCCTTCTGTGCTATAATATTCTATGATTCTAACCAAAGTTGTTTCATCCCAACCAGACATACATCATCTATGGTGGGAGAAAGTATTGGTGAAGAGTTGGGGGGGAATAAAGCAATCTTCAGAATGTCTGCCAACTTCTCAGATGGCTTGTTGGATAAAGGTACTGTCTGGAAGGTCACAGATTCCCGTCCCTCTCTGTGTTGAATTTGTTAATCTCAGAAAGAGAACTAATATTTGCATCAGCTTTCCTAGTCTTAGGAGAGAAAAATCAGCCAGCGATCTTGTTTCTGATCACCATCATGGCCTCTGGAAGACACGTGTACATGGCTGTCAAGTGAGCATGGAATTGGAATTGGGTTTAGCTATGATAGGCTCATAGATGAAGGATGGATACTTGAGCAAGGTATGAAAGAGATGAAAGTGTAGCCGATTTATTCCTCCTGTAGGAAAGACAAGTGGAGAAATGTTGTTCTGACATTTGCTTCATGTCATTGACGAACACTGCTCCTTTCACTACATGCAATAAAAAATAATTTGTTCAATGCACCTTCTTTGATGAAAGTTGCAGGAAGTTGATTGGCATGATGACTGTCAGGTTAGTTTAATCATATTGAACACATACTCAGTTACCTTCAAAGTCCACATCTCCTACTAATTTCATCTTCCCTGTTACAGGATCCTGAATGCGGTTAATTCCAACATCGATCACGACTGTTCCATCTTTCACCATATCTGCAGTGATCAGTTTTGGAATCCCTGGAACAAATCAATAATTCAATGTCACTACAGAAGCTCAGTGCAATGATCTCTGGCGAGCTGCTCCATTCATTCATTCTGTACTTTTACACTTGTGGAGGGGAAGTGAAATTGACCTCAAAGACTATGAATGAAGGGAAAGTCAAACTGGGTTGCCTGAGCTGTAGGTAAAAAAAGATTAATAGAAAGTTAAAATACGGTCAATTGAGCAACGTACAAATACACTCAGTGGTCATAGTCAAAGAAACTATGGAAAGTTTACAGCAAAGAAGGATGCCAACCAAACATGATGTCTGTGCTGGTGTCAGATCTCCCACTAGAGACCTACTCCCCCACTGTTAAGCACTCTGAGATGCTACCCTGCGTGGAGGGCTCTATATAAGTGCAAGTTGTTGTTGTTGTTAGACAAACCCCATTCCCCTGCTCTTTCCACATACACTTTAGTGTTATTATTATTACTATTGGTGTGTTTCCTATATGGAAATCTCATATATTAACACTAACACTTTTTCAGCCCCGTAAATTCTTAGGTTCCTACAAAGAGAAAAGAGGAAAGCACCACCTACGGGATAACAGCAATTCTGGATTGTATCACAAGGGAGGCATGCACTGAAGAGCTCCAACTTACACTTATATAGAAGGAGGAATGTCTCAAAATGCTTTTCAGAAATGATGGGGATCATCGAGCAAGTAGGAAAGGAAAGTTTAGGGATGCTGACCAAAGCCATGCTCAAGAGATTGTTTTTTCAGGGGGTATTGGAGGCACCCAGATACCTTTTCAAAAATACACAAAGTACAAATTAATCCATTATTCAACATTCACTATCTCAAGCAAACTATACTTTTGGCAAGCTCAGGGAGCATTTCAGGTGAGGTTTTTAACCCAATGTGCACACAAGGACACTTTGCAAAAAGGAGTATCTTTCCAAAAAGGGCTATATGGACAACGGTCAAGAGATACAAGCCTGGCTGATACCCTAATTCAGGTTGCTGAGATCAATTGTTAGCACTTCAGTTGCTTGAGTCACCAACATCAACTAACTCAGCACCGACTGGCATTCAAACCTGTGAGCTTCCAGTCTATATGGTCCAACTCTGCACTGGACAATGCCTTTCCTCTCAAAGCTAATACGAGTTGACTTCTAACTCACAAAAAAAGTGTGAGTTTATAAAAATAATTAGTCAGCTCAAGACATGAACTCAAAGTACTCATGTGTTTCATCATGTTTTGCAATAGGGAAAGTTTCACAAAGAGAGATACAGAGATAAGGGGTAATCAGATACCTGTGAGAGACCATGCGGAAAATTAGAAACAGAACCCAGTTGTGTTTCTGATTCTTTTATATTCCTTGACACTGATGTCAAAATCTAAAGTGGTGAAATCATAATCATTGTCTAAAAAATGAAGAATCTAGTTTCTGGTGGAAGGAGGGACAAAGCTGACATCAACTCCTGTCGACAGTGGGATTGCTTCACGGTAATGCCACCTGCAGTCCACACCTGTACAGATAGATTTACAATAGTATGGACGTCAACTGACTAACTGTCATGAGGCATTACATTGAACAGCTGCAGCAAGTTATCCACCCTCATCTTTTGTCCTCCATCAGCATTTAATGATAATACAATAATAATCCTTGCATTTGATATATTGCCTTATCACGTTTGAGACATCTCAACACGATAAGGCACTATATCAAATGCAGACTTACTGTAAAATGTAGTGTATATTGTGTATTTGTAGGTGAACTTACGATCTAAGTAATCCTTCTTGAATAGGCTTTTCTCTCATTGAAACAACTGAGCAGATTTTTGTGTTCTACCACAATACAACAACAACAAGATTTCATTTATAGAGCGCCTTTCACGTCGGGAGGACATCCCAAGGCGCTGAACAGTTGGGTCGGGACCCGAGCAGGGGGGAAATGGTCAGGGTGAGGGGAGGAAAGGGAGGGAGGAGGGGGTAGAGAGTCGAGAGGGGAGCTGAAGGCACGGTTGAAGATAAAGGTTTTGAGGCCAGCCTTGAAGGAGGAAAGGGAGGAGGCGGCGAAGGCACTGGGGGATGGAGTTCCAGAGCCTAGGGGCTGAGAGGCTGAAGGCCCGGCCATCAATGGTAGGGCGGTTGGGGCGGGGGATGTGGAGCAGACTGGAGCCAGAGGAACGGAGGGTACGGGCAGGTAGGTAGGGGGATAGTAGGTTGGAGAGGTAGGAGGGAGCAAGGCCGTGAATGGCCTTGTAGGTGAGGATGAGGATCTTGAATTCGATCCTCTGGGGGATGGAGAGCCAGTGGAGGCGAGCGAGGGTGGGAGTGATGTGGTCGCGAAGCCTGGTGCGGGACAGTACACGAGCTGCAGAGTTCTGAATGACCTGCAGCTTGTGGAGGGAGGTGGCGGGAAGGCCGACGAGGAGAGAGTTCCCATAGTCCAGCCTTGAGGTGATAAAGTCGTGGACCAGAGTTTCAGCAGCGTGAGGGGTGAGGTAGTGCCATCATCTGGCGATATTCCGGAGGTGATGGAAGGCGGTGCCAGTTGTGGTGCGGATGTGAGGGAGAAAGGACAGCTCAGGGTCGAACAGAACCCCGAGGTTCCTGAGTGGCTTTGAGAGGTGGAGAGTGCAGCCTTGGATGCTGATGGTGTCAGCGCCTGAGGTGCGGAGGCGCTGACGTGAGCCAATCAGGAGGACCTCAGTTTTGCGCACATTGAGCTGAAGAAAGTTGTCTCTCGTCCAGGACTCGATGTCGGACAGGCAGGCTGTCAGGACATCGGTGGTGGTAGAGTTGAGGGTAGAGGAGGAAAGGTAGAGTTGGGTGTCATCCGCATACATCACCGTAACTGCATTACAAACTAGAATATGTCATCAGGATCATCATAAAATCAGATTTGTTAAGAAGTTTAAATTTTGTCCAATGATTTCTTTCAGCCTCCTACATCACACATCAGTTCTTGAAGGAGGCAAAGACAGAGTTCCAGAGCTCAGCTGATGAATTTTCCAAGATGTCTGAAAGGAGATCTCTGCAAGTAATCTAGGGTTATTTGCCCTCAACTATTACATTTTGCTAAGCAGTGAAAGGAAAGGATTCTTCATTGTCAATTAAAAACAGATCCAGTTGCCGTTGTCGTTTTGGTTCATTTGCATGTTTTAGAAATGAATCCTGCACAATTGCAATAAACTGTTATAATAATGGTAAATAATAAAATAATAATAACCTTTGCATTAGATATAGTGCCTTACCACGTCATCAAAATTTATCAATATGCTTCACAGTATTTACTGTAAAGTGTAGCGACTGTGTATTTATAAGTCAAAAAATCATTCAAGTGCGGACTGTCTGCATTGTAAATTCCAACTTATATTGAGGAAAATTAATTCCCTACTTTGAAGCCCTGGGATTTACTATTGTTATGATATCGCAAAGCAATACATCTGCCTCCTCTGATGGTTGGGCACCCTCTAGCATATTTCTATCAATAAAGTCTCTGCTTTATTTCTAACCAAAAAGGCCCAGATTCACTTTCAACATCAGTTATATTTAATCCCTCCCTAATATATATTGCCACCCCTTAACCCTAATCTTTGTCCTGTCTAAAACACTCATTTCCCAACAGGTAAATTCATTGCTTCTGAACTAAATTTAATTTATTCCCACAATGTTGACTTCTTCCCTATTTGCCAACATTCCTGGCTCACGCATTTTGTTCCTTATACTTGCATTCATATGAACACCCCTTATATAATACGTTATATTATATCAGATTGGCACATTGTCTCTTTTTACTGCTCTTGCCACATCTCATTGTATTCTTTGTTATTTATTGAAGTTGCCCTATCTTGACCTTCTCTCTCTATATACATGAAATCTTTCTCCATCTCAATCTCCAGCCACAAGTTGTGGTTTGGCTGAAAAAAACAAGTCATGGAGCAAGGTTTGAGGTTTTGATTCAGCCACGCGTTAAGGTAAGTCCGTAGGAATGTCTCAACTGACAAGGTTAATCTCATTATTATTACCCCATATATCAAACCGGTTTCATTTTACACTACAAGCTTGAAATGCTGAGATTTGTCCTAGCATTAGGAGATTAATTCCCATAGAATTTTACACAAGAACAGGGAATATTTAGAGGGAATCCACAGGAGGTCTTCAAAATTTTGCAATACACAGTCACACCACTTTACAGTGTATACTGCGAAGCACTTTGAGATGTCAACAACATTAGGCACTATATCAAGTGAAAGAATTATAAGTAGTGGAAGATGATTCCGGCTGTTTGGTGACTGGTTAGGTAATAAGGGGGTATCAGTTCCGGATAGACACTGGAAGAGTTAAGAAGAAAGCTGAGACACTTTTTCGCCTTGGGATGTCCTCCTGACATGAAAGGCACTATATAAATGCAATTTGTTATTGTTGGTGTTTCATCCATAGAGGTTTTAGAATATTGAATCCTATGTCACAAACTCAGATTATAAGAACATTACAAAGAGAATTGTATTAACATTTGTAAAGAGGAACAATATGAAAAAATAGAACAATATGACAAACATTGGAAAGAATCAAGGAATTGGGATTGGAGAAGTTAGCTGCAGTGGACAAGCAAATGGTACCCTACTATGCTATAATTTCAATGATTCTCACCAGCAGTTTGTCCTTCTCAAGAGCGGAGTGCGTGGAGGTTCTTCATGACAAAGTGTCAGGTCTGGCTATCCTTTTGACACAGATACCATGTGAGGACGAGCTTGAGTCTGTGATAGATCCCTCTCATGATATGAAGCACACACGTTACACATTCTTATTATGAATCGTAACCAGGAGAGATACTCCTAAATAGCACCAATGTTTATGCTGTCCGAGTGAACAAGTTAGTTTGTGTTTATGTACAGCTTGCCCAGAATATATATCACTACAATCTGTACTCATGCAAGATGCTGTGCAAAGGTGCATTGCATTAAGATAAAGAACACGGAACCAGGCCCCAGTTCCAAGACACTGGAAAGGATAGGAAGGA